GGACCCAAAAGAAGAGAGAGAGAACAAGGGGGAATGCCCTGCAACAGAGGCAGGGTGGGATGGGGGGATGGGGGAGTGGGAGGGATGCTGGGACCCGTGGTGGTGGAGGATGGGCATTGGTGGAGGGATGGGTACTTGATCATTGTATAACTGAAACCCAAGCACAGAAATTTGTGAGTCTATAACTGTACCTCATGGTGTTTACTAATAAAAAAAAACCCCAGAAATTTATTTCTCACAGTTACAGAGGCCAAAAGTTTTCTAGTATATTATATTATATTTTATATTTCTATTCCAAAACTATTATATTTCTCACAGTTATAGAGGCTAGAAGTTTTTCAGTGTAAATGAAACAGAATACCACAGACTGTTGAACAGAAATTTATTTCTCACAGTTAAAGAGGCTGGAAGCCTCTGAGGTATTGGTAGGGTTGGTTTCTGGTGAGGTCTCTCTCCTTGGTTTACAGATGTCATCTTTCTGCTAGACCCTTGTACAACCATCTCTCTTTGAGCACGCACTCCTAATGTCTCTTGTTATAAGGTCACTAGTTCTTCTGGGTCAGAATTCCACCCCATGTCCTCATTTAACCTTAACTATCTCCAGAAATGCTGTGTCTCCACAGTAGTCACAGTGGGGATTGGGACTCCAACAATATGAATTGAGAGACACAATCCAGTCCACAACACATATGCAAAATGTTTGATAATAATGCCTGACACATGCTAAACACTACTTGAAATGCTACTGATGAAAAAAACCCAAAATTTATCTGGTCATTATCTTTTGGTAATTATATTACACATAATTTGTTTGTATTTTCCAAACATTTATACACTGAGCAATTTTAGTGATCTGGGGAAAACATTCAGTAAAAGACATGGTTGGACATTATTTACAGCTCTTCAGCCATTTCATAGTATTCTCAACGCCTTTACTCTTGTTAGTTTTTAAATTCTTGGCTTAGCTTTCCAGATTATATGTCATAAAAAAGAGAAATGAAGATCTGTTTTGATGCAGTCCTACTAGCCAGAGCTTCTTCCTCCTGCAGCGGGGGTGGGGAGGGGGATGTGTGACCCAGCCCCATATCTATAGCCTCTAGAAGGATGAAAAGGCCTTTATTAAAAGGACAGTGGGTCAGTCTGGGTTCTTGATCACAAACAACAAAATCCATACTGATTACTTGGCTGCTCACAGTATTGCTTGGAAGGCTGAAGAAATAGGCTCAAATCTTGGCTTTTAGGAACAATTCCCCAAATCAGCCACAACCAACATTTTAGCTACCAGCCTGTGTCAGCAAGATGTAGGCCACATACAGCATTTCTCCTGCTCATTGCATGAAGATGCATTCATTGCCATGATCTAGGTTACCTATCCACCCCTTTTGAAAGGGAGTCTGGAAAAGATATTTTTCTTGATTGTACTTGGTAAGGAGGTACTTAAAGTGTGGGAAACTATCAAAATGTTTATAAATAATAGAATAGTAACAAATAATAGGGTCCCACTGTCAGGGATGTATGTCCAGATGTCCTAAGTGCAGGAAAACCAGAATTCAGATTAACTGAGCCCATTTTTTTTTAAGTTTTAATTGAATCACTGTGAAGTTGTTCATGATTAGGTTTCAGTCATAGGATGTTCCAGTACCCATCCCTTCACCAGTATACATTTCCCACCACCAGTGTCCCCAGTTTCTCTCCCATCACCATCCTCATCCCCCACCCCAGCCCACCCTGCCACTATGACAGGCACTATTTTTATCTTCTCTCTCTCTCTCTCTCTCTCTCTCTCTCTCTCTCCCTTTTCTTTTGGGTAATATCATATGCAATACGGTACTGACAGATTATCCCAGGGATAATCTTTACCTACTCCCAGTATGCAATTCTTGTCCAGAGTTTTCATTCCAATTATCATTGTCATAGTGGTCTCTTCTCTATCCTAACTGCCCCCCTCGACTGTGGCAAGTTTCCAACAGTGGACTAGTCCTCCAGACCCTTGTTTCTACTTGGATATTAGTTTCATATATGTTTTTTTCATATTCCACAAATGAGTGCAATCTTTCTAGGTCTCTCCCTCTTTTTCTGACTCATTTTGCTCAACATACTCTCCATATCCATCCATTTATAACAAATTTCATTTGTTTTTCCTGGTGGCTGCATAATATTCCATTATGTAGATGTACTATAGTTTCTTTATCTAGTTGTCTATTCTCAGGCACTTGGGTTGTTTTCAGATTCTGGCTATTGTGAATAGTGCTGCAATGAACACAGAAGTGCAGATGGTGTTTCTGCTGTGCATTTTGTGTTTCCCAGGGTATATTACAAAAAAATTGGGGGTTTTGTGGGGGAAGTTATACCTGGCAATGACTGAGCCCACTCTTGATTGACTCTTAATGTCAGTAGCAAACTGGGCACTGAGTGGAACTGGTGATGATGAAAATAGTTAACTGTTTTGTTCATGCCCATAAGTCCATGGGTCAGCTTCATTTTGTACCAACAAATAAAGAGGGCAGAAGCTTGCCCAGGTATTTATAGCATGACAGAATCAGAGCCAGGACTGGGAATGCCTGGTAAGATCTGAGCCTAACTTGAGTATTACCTCCTACAGAAAGTGCCCTGAGAGTAGGCTGGGATCGAGTGTGCTGTCACATTCACACTGAAATGTAATTACTGATTCTTCTAGATTTAAATCTCCTGCTCTGTCAAATGGGAAAAAATTCTCTACATTATCAGAGCTTGTGCCAGGACTGAAAACGTGATCAAGAGCCTGCCTGGCTTATTAGAGATGATGACTGACCTGTAAAGGGAGAGATTTAGCTGAGATGTGACTGACCTTGATGACTGAGAGAGAAGTCCAGGGACCCTGAGGCTTGATTTGGTATCTCTGGGCTTTTGTTTCTTTCTGGCTGAGTTAGGTCTCATGGCTTCCCACAGTGATATAGCTTGGATGCCTCAACAACTGTATAGGTCTTTGGATGACCCATAGATACAGAGGGAAGGATAGTCTCAGAATTCAGAACAGAGAAGAACATATTTCCTTATCCAATGATGGGAATACGCCCAATGAGGGGAGATACTGACCCATGAACCCCAAATCAGATCCAGAGCCTTCCTATCCTCATCCCTCTAGAGACAAAACCATGTTGGAAAACAGTAAAACGCTCAGCTAAGCTTTTATCAGTTACAGCTCAGCACCAGTTTTTGAATTAGAATATTCACAAGTAGCAGAGACATCTGTAGGAAGAATAACTGGATCTGACATCCTGCAGGAGGCCGATCTAAATGTGTCCCATGACATCACCCTGGAGGGGAGACTGCCAGGATGTGTATGGGGCCCGGAGCACTTCCGCAGCAGGGTGCAGCAGAGGAAGGCTAGGCCCGGGGCCTTCTGCATGGCTTCCAGACCTTGTGCTCAGCAAAGAAAGGCTTTGTTGGTCTGATGACCAATGAGCTAATTGTCTGTCCACTTTCCTAAGCCAATCCAGTCCTGGGAGATACTTTCTTTCTGTCCAGACTGTTTTACACAGAACAATTGAGCATCAGTAGGTCTTCACTTAATCAGCTGCCACAGGAATTGGAATGGGGTCTTGGGAGTGGGGGTGGGGTGTTTTGATAATTGTGTTGCCTTTTGGGAGGTATCTTGCCACACAGACTCTGTGACACCCTCTTGAGGAACACAGAGGATGCCAAGCATGAGCATGAAAGATTCCATCAAAGTCCTTGTCAGGCTTTGCCTGAATTCCATCAAGAAGTTTGGATTCTCTTAAGAGTTTGGATCCTTCAACAGAGAAGAAGGTGTAGAGTGGTACTCTGAAACAGGGGACACAGTTCAGAAACACCCCAGCACAGTGTGCATACAAGGAGCACACTGGCAGGCTGGGCACACACGTCCCATCCTCATCCTATAGGCACACACCCCTACACAACTTGTACCCCATCTGCTGAGCCATGAGTGCGCTGTACACAGAGTAGGTAGTCTCTGGAGGCCCGAGGAGCTTCTTGTTCTCTCATCCACTGTTCTCTGGTTCCCTGCCTTCTTCCTGGGTCAAATAGTGCCTGGCCAGGGAGAGCAGCCTGCAGACCTGGCTCTGCTGACGGAGCGCTGTCCTCGGTGCTGGAGGCCTAGTGGGACATGCGTTTGAGTGCCTGTGAGTTGGGAGGCAAACACCTCTAAGTCCAGGTGTAGGTCTCCATAGTGGACTAACAAAATGTCTACTGCACTCTTAAGGGGAATGTACAAGCCTTCCTCTTTCCAACCGCAGACACAGATACAGGTGTCCAACCCTCAGGTAACTGGACGGTGCTCCCAGAGGCTTCTCAGACCCAGGTGTCAGCCTGGGTTGTGTTTGAGACCTGGATTGTCTCCTCCCATCAGAGACACCTTTTACTCCGTGTGGTGTCCTGCGACCTCGTGACTACACGGAGTGTCCCCTGACCTTGTGGCCTCAGATGCTCAGCTGTCTTCCTAATCTGGGGTTGCCCGAGGATAGGACCGAGTAAACCTTCCCCGTCGTCTCCTGTCCTCTTTGGCTCCCAGAGGCTCCCCTTCTCTCTCTGCAAACTCTGGTCCTCGGGGCATTCGAGTCCAAGCCACAGGCGTGTGGTCTTCGTCCGGAAAGGGGACCCCGCGCGAGTCGGGTGCCTCCAGAGGCCGCAAGGCTGCTGGAGGTAAGCGGGGCGGCCGGCGGGGCAGGCTTGTGGCGGTGGAGGCGCGGTGCGCCGGGTCTCCGGCCCGCTTCACCCGAACGCCGGCTCCTGACGTTGGGGGCGGGTGCGCCGCGGGCAGCTCAGAGCTGCGGCCTGGCCCCTCCCCCTCCCGGGGCCTCGGCGGTTTGGAGCCGGGGGTGGGGTGGGGGGGGACGCCCTGGACCCCCGCCGGCGGCCGGGAGGGCCAGGGGCCCCGGCGCGCGCGCCGCGCCCTCCCCCTCCCGCCGAGCCTCCGCCGCGGCGCGGGGCGGGGGGGGGGGGGGGTGCGCTGCGGCGCGGGGGGCGGGGGCTAAAAATACCCGGCGGCGGCGCGGCGACTGCTGGGGCTGCGGGGCTGCCGGGCGGCTGGCCGCGGAGGCCGTGCGGGCCAGGCCGGGCCCGCCACCGACATGCTCACGTTCTTCCTCGTCTCGGGGGGCTCCCTCTGGCTGATCACGGGTGAGTGTCTGGCCCTTCCTTTTCCCTGAGCTCCCCCAGTTCCCGGCACGCGGTGGGGTCCGCCGGCCGGGTGGGGGTGAGTCCGCAAGCCCGGGCAGCTGGGCTGGTTCGTCGGGGTCCGGGTGTCCGCCTAAGTTAACCGCGTACCCCCCAACCCCTCCTCCTCCCCGATCAGCAGCACCCCATGCATAATTCTGAGGGACCGTGGGTCAGGTTTGGGCAGCAACTGGGTTTGCGGGAATGAAGGGCCTCGCTCTGTTCTTTAGGACCCCACGACCTCCCTCCTGTTCTCGCTCCCCCTATTTGGAGGAGGACCACCAGCCAAAAGGACTAGACCCGGAGTCCCCTAATGTCAAGTGCAGGGACAGGACATCCTTGGTCATTTCCAGGGTCCGGAATGCCAGGAATAGGCCCTGGAGGGCCTGCATCACAGGACAGTGCCCTAACCCTGCCTTCCCCACTCCAGTCAGCCGCTTTCCTCACACCGGGTTCTGCCTGTCCTCCAGCCTGAGTAAAGAAGCCCTAATCTGGCTCCCAACCCCAGGTTTTGGGCCCCCACTGCTACACAACCCCTTCCTCTCACAGGAGTGCCCCTCCATTTTCTCCAAAAGCAGGCAATCCCATTTGAATCCCTGTAGGCACCCTGTCTCCTTGCATCACAGCAGGGTCCTCCCCAACCACCACCTTTTTTGGGTGTTTTTTTGTTTGTTAGTTTTTTTTTGGTGCCACACTTAAGCATTGCCAGGGCTTACTCCTGGCTCTGTACTAAGGAATCTTTTCTGGTGGTGCTCTGGGGACCACAGAGGATGCTGGGTCCAGTGTGTGCAAGGCAAATGCCCTATGCACTATACTATCTCTCTGGCCCCCTCATTAGCAATTTCGCTGCTGTACCAGTCACTCCCCTCTGTCAGCCTGGGATTCCTCAGGGGTGCAGTACCATAACAGAGTATCCACCACAAGCAGATTCAAGCTGAATTATCATGTTAAGTGCTTGAAGCTTAAACTAGCCTTAAACCAGACCAGACCTCAAACAAATAGTCTCCAATGTTAATGCTTATAACTTCACATTCCAGCAGCAGCATCATAGGAGGTAAAAAGGTTCTTTCTAAACCAAAGAGGGTCATCCCTTTGAATTCCTTATGTGAAACTTACGTGGGTTTACTATTTACTGTTGGTGCACACTTAGTGAATACCTGCACAAATTCATTTTCAGACCAGGACGCATCCCAGGCTTCTGTTGGCTCTTGCTGTGTGTATTGCAACAAACCCTGCTAGGTTTGTTGGCACTATCCCATTTTTACGGAAGTTAACTTTCCTACTGTCACATGGATATCTGCAAAAGGGCTCTAGCTTAGGTTTTCATTGATTACCCATCGTTAAGCACTTAGAGGTAAGAGGTGGGAACCTAGAGGGTTGGTGTGTCAGTAAATCACTTCAGACCAGCTCTACCCACCCTGAGTCAGAAACTCAGCTGAGCTGGAGAGTGATTGAGACTGTAATCTCCTTCTGTCTGCTGGTACCTGAGACTGTGCACAGCCATTTTGGACCTCATGTGCATCCATCCCGGATACATGGTCAGGGCTAGAACTGGTGCCAGGGATGAGGGATAGGAGTTATTATCAAGATGGTGGTAGTAATGCCCATTGTTTATTGTTTTGTTCTTCTTGTTGGGCCACACCTGGCAATGATCAGGGGTTACTCCTGGCTCTGAACTCAAGAATTGCTTCTGGTAGTGCTTGGGGGACCATATGTGATGGTAGGGATTGAACCCAGGATGGCTGTGTACAAGACAAATGCCCTACCTACTGAATTATAGCTCTGACCCTGTGTTCACTGTTTATTGCCTGGGTGATAATCTCAGAGTCTCTCCAGTGTCAGAGGCCCTTTCTCCAACTCTCACGAGGCCACCACCCAGGCAGGGTCCCAGAGCAGTTGGACTTCAGTGGCTGCATGGAGATAACTGGAGGCTAAAGGAATACACATGGCAGGAACCAACAGAAGCCTGGGATTCATTGTGGTATGAAAGTGGAGTTGTGCTGGTTCTTACTAAAACTGGTCTTCAGTCCTGCTTCAGTATGGTCTGTTTGCTTTCCAAAGGTCAAGTTTCCCTGAGTGGGGAAACTTTCTTCATTGAGGGGCTATGGGAATCTCTAGGTGATCAAGCAGGGCGAATCTTAGTGTAGGTAGCAGCCACACTTCTCCGTGCAAACAGGAAATGCCTTCTAGAGGCCACACTTGGCCTAGGATGACAGGCTGATATTGTGGGACTCATTGATTGGAACACCTGAGCCACACACTGGGCTTTACCGGATCATGGGTGAACTTTGCTTTGGACTTTTCCTAGATCCCAGTCTCTCTCTGGGGACAGGGGGGTTTCCTGGGCTAAGACTGAAAACTTTTTCTGTCTTATAACTGCCAGGGGCCCATGACAGATTCCAGATCTCTCTGGGTCTGCCAGAATTAGAGGACCCTGGGGGTGATGGCACTTATAGAGAATTATGTGCTTATTGTTGTTCATTCTGGCCTGTGGAGACAGTAGCTGCAGGGAGAGAATAGTATGAAAGGGTAGCAGGAGCAATCTGGAGGAGGGATTCACCGGGGAAGCAGCCTTGTACTCTGACTCTTATCCGCCCTGCTCCCCACTGAGAAGACTAGCACCGTGTCCAGCATCCACCTGTATGCGGAAGGTAGTGAATACGAAAGCAAGTGAAATTGCTCCAGCCTTAGGCAGACGTTGTGCCTGGCCTTTATGATATGGGCACTCAGAGGACTAGGGAGCAATGGGTTGGCATCTCTGCTGCCTATATGGCCCTGTGTGTAAAGTAGGAATTCACCATTACCCCTCTCCCCCACCATTTTCTAGCTCATCCCTTTCTCCAGCCCAGTGTTTCCCAGAGTGCCCCTGCTGCCCTGAGGGGAGCACTGAAACAATCCAGAGGGACATTAGACACCTCTGGTGCAGTTGGGAAAACTTTGTTCACTTAAAAGAGGTAGATTTCTGTACACTGGTGAAGGGACGGGTGTTGGTGCTGAACATTGTTTTACTGAAACCAAATCATGAACAACTTTGTAATGATGAATCATAATGATTTGATTAATTTTTTTAAAAAATATATAAATAAAATTAACTATGGCGGTAAGGACCAGAGTGATAGTATTGGGGTAAGGCACTTAACTTGCATGTGACCAACTTCAGTTCAAATCCACAACACCATAATGTGATCCCTCCAGCATAGCCAGGAGTGGTCCCTGAGCACAGAGTCAGAAATAAGCCCCCAACACACTCATCTGTGGGATATAAAAATCACAGTGTAAGACTAATACCCAAGGACAGTAGGAACAAGAGCCTGGAGGACTGGTCCATGACTGGAAGATTGCCACAAGTGGCAGGAGGTCTAGGGGTGGTGGTGGCAGTTAGGTCAGAGAAGGAACCACTATGACAATGATAGTTGGACATGATCACGCTGGACAAGAACTGAATACTAAAATGTGGTAAAGAGATATGCATGATAACCTTTCAGTACCTGTATTGCAAACCATAATGCCCAAAAGGAGAGAGGGAGAAAGAGAAGAGAGGGGGGAGAGAGAGAGAGAGAGAGAGAGAGAGAGAGAGAGAGAGAGAGAGAGAGAGAGAGAGAGAGAAGAAAAGTGTCTTCTGTAGAGGTGTAGAGGCAGGTTGGGGAGGGGTGGTTGGAGGGAAACTGGGGACATTGGTGGTGGGAAATGTACACTGGTGAAGGGACAGATGTTAGAACATTATCTGACTGAAATCCAGTTATTAAAAGAAATTAAAAAATAAAGAGCTCATCACTGCTGGATGTGGCAAAACAAAAACAAAACCCCACAAAAATACCTAGAAGGATGATTGGGTCATAAGAAATATTTGCCTAGACAAAAGATACAAAAACTTAATTTTAAAAGTTTTACGTTTTACCACAACACCCAGAAGGAGAGAGAGAACAAAAGGGAATGTCCTGCCACAGAGACAGGGTAGGGTAGAGGGGACGGGTAGGGGTGATGGTGGGAGGGATTCTGGGACTATTGGTGGTAGAAAATGGGCACTGGTGGAGGGATGGCTACTTGGCCATTGTATGACTGAAACACAAGCACGGAAGTTTGTAAGACCGTAACTGTACCCCATGGTGATTCATTAATAAAATTTTTTTTTAATTTTTTTTAAGTTTTAACACATGTTTAGGTCCATATTACATTATAATTTATTATTGTTAGTATTATTATTTTGGTTTGGAGACCACACCTGCCTGTGCTCAGGGATGACTTCTGACTCTGACCTTAGGGATCACTCCTGGCAGAGGCCTGGGGCACCAAATGTGGTGCCAGGTATGAACTCAGATGTGCATTATGCAAAGTCAGTGTCTAACCCTCTGTACTATCTCTCCAGCCCTTATAACTTAATTTTTATATGTAGTTTGAAATAAAGATTTGAATTTATTTTCAAATGGGGGGAGATAAATTTATAGGGGACATTTTTCCAGAAAATGAGGCAGCAGGCTAAGAAGTTTGGGGAGCCAGCTCTAGGCGAGTGCAACCCTTTCTTTGTTCTTGTACAGAGTGCCTCTGCACAGACACACCCTGACGTTCGACGATCCGTGACAGCTGCCAGGCTCTGCAGCTTGCAGGCATCTGCCAGAAGCAGGTAGGCTGAGCTTCAGGTAGTTAGGCCAGAAAGGGGGTTGCAGGAAAGTGGGAGGGAGTCTTCACAGTCTTGAGCCTGGGTACCCTGAATAGTGGCAGGTGTGTGAAATCTGCACAGAAGAGTATTCTGAAGAAGGTTCTATTTGGGATGGGCAGAGGAGGCCTCAGTTTGGCTTCAGTGACCAGGCCAAACCAGGGGAGGAAAGTGGTGGGTGCCTGTTGTGCTGCTGTGACTGAGAATAGCTATGACCCAAAGGTGACCCACGCCAGGCCTATGGGAGCAGGGCCTGGCTCTGCCTGGGCTCTGCTAACTCAGCTCAGCCCCACCTGCTCCCCACCCAGGCTCCCTGGAGAATAGAGGCTGATAGGAGGTCTAGACCATCCCAGAACCCAGAAAGATGGTGGAGTTGCAGGCAGAGCGGTAGGAGACACACCCTTGCAGCAAGCTTGGATGACAGCATCCTGCATTGAGCCAGGGAGCACTCTCACCTCAGTGCCTTCACCCCTTCCCGGCCTAGGGGAGGTTACTGGGGCTTGACACAAGGGGGCAGCAGAACCCAGTCATTCTGCTCTCTGGCTGCCTTTCAGTCCCTTGTGATTAGAAAGGATCTCAGGTTGACCTTCAGAAGGCCTGGCTTGGCTCAGCTACAGACCCAGATGGGACCCAGGCTGTTCCCAGCAAACAGGATTGAGTGAGCATGAGGCTCTGGCTTGTTTGCAAGAAGAAGCCAAAGTTACAGGCTTTTACAATGCCTAGCACATAGTAGACACTCAGTCATTGAATCATGTACTGTGTATGTGTATATGTGTGCGTGTGCGTGTGCGCGTGTGCTGGGTTGCTCTGAGAGAGGGAAGTGTTTCCAACATGCTGATTTAACATTTCCCTGAAATGTTCCTATTTCCTACCATGTGTCAAGCTCTGTATTCTGATTCTTTGCCAGCTTTCCTTGATTCTCCCCACAACACAGTAGTGCTGTTACCGCTGTTTAACAGATGAGTCACAGAGTAAGGGAGGGCTGGGTAGCGGCCGTTTCGTAGCAAAGCAGTTCAGCTGTATGTGAGACCACAAACTCAGAACTGCCATCCATGGAGGACTGCAGGTAGTGTCAGCCAGGGTTTGAGACCCTCCAGCAGGCTTGTCGGAGGCATAGACCAGGCAATGGTCATTGTACAAGACTGTATTTTTAAGAGAGGATGCACATAGAGTGTCAAGAGCAGAGCCTGGCACATGTGAAAGGGCTCGTTAGATGTTTGCAAAGATAATACTGAGCTAGACCTTTCTTAGAGACTGATGCAGGACTCCAGAATACAGAGACGAAAGAAGGAAAGAGAAGGCATTTCAAGCAGAGAGAGCTGCATGAAGGGAGATTAGCAATAGAAATGAGCCAGACAGACCATTATGCTTCGCTAGGGATTTCTCCAGGTTGGCTTCTATAGGTCCTAGAATGCTGGACTGCTCAGCATGGACTAGATTCCGTTCGGTGGCTGCACCAAATTGGGCATGTGGTTGATCAAGGTGACACTATTTCTTTGCTCCACAAGCCACACGCATACTCTGGTGATACAGATTTTCCTGAAGTATAAAGCTTTGGAGCCCTGTGATTGATTTTGTTCATAGGCCAGGGATCTTCTCTCTAACGCGGCCCAGGGTCTGGCAGATGATATGCCTTGGTGCTTATTAGAGAAATAAAAGGTACCTGAATTTCCTGAGAGTAATTTATTCTAATATGATTCATAAGCTGTTTTCTCTCGACCAGTTGATTAGCAAATGGCAGGTCTTGAATGTGTTCCTCAGTGCCTGGGGGATGATGCCTTGTGTTGGAGCAGTCAGGCCAGCAGGCGAACCCACAGGCAGTGCCAGGGAAGCCCTCACCAACCTGAGTGCTGAGAATTCAACAGCAGTAGTTGCCCCAGAAGTGTTTGAATGAATGGATGGATGGATGAAGGAAGGAAGGAATTAACCCGAAGTCAAAGGGCTGTTTTGTGGAAAGTAACGTCTTTGGGTGAGTTCCTACTGTTTCCTTAGAGCCCCAAGTTTTCAGCCTCCTGATAGGCTGAGAGCTGTAGCCAAGCAAAGGTAAGAGGAGTCCCCATAGGAGGCTCCATTCCCTTGCTAGTCTAGTGTGATGGCCTCGTTCCCAGGTGACCAAAGATGCCATGAATCACCCATTGGGCCCCAAGATTGGATAGGGGGAGGAGATTTGGATTATTTTTCAGAATGTCAAGGGCTGGCCCTCCCCTGGTTGCTTAGCTGCTCTGGGAACCCTTGGTCTGTGCTCATTCCCCTTAGCCCCTATCTCATCCTTTGGTGTGCCTAATTCATGGGAGATTTGGGGTCTGTGATAGCTAAAAGTGGGTAGATAGAAATTAGGCTGGTCACACTGAGTTATCCTGAGACCAACCTATACCTCAGAGTACAAAGAACTCTAAAGACCAAATTTGTTCCTGTCTGCCCTTTCTGAAGACACAGTTCCTCTCTCAACAATTGGCTTCGGGTGGGTGCTTTGTGTGAAAGGTTGGGGGGTAGCTGGCCTCTGATTTGCCATCTTCTCATGCGTTCTGGGATAGTCATCTCCTGGGGTTTCAGAGCCCAGTCAGGCCAAGATGGTCCTGTGAGAGAATATTTAGCAGCTCAGTTTTCAGACCCTGAGATAAGCAAATCTGAGTTGACATTTGCTGGAGCCAGGAACAGGTCTAGTGATTAAGGACTGTTGGAGGACAGACCTGTGGGCCTGCTTGAATGGGTAGCTCTGATCAGTTCCAAGAAGCCTGTTCCACCCTCAGGAAGGAGCGAATGGGGGTGGGGTGATTCCTGGGAGTGGAGCAGAGCTTGGCCCTGCCACAAAGCCCTGCTTCTCCCTCGGGTGTGTGGTTGGTTGTGGGGCTAAGATTCCAATGGAATCGTCCTGACCACTCACCCCTGCACCAGCCGGGGCAATAGATTGTTCTTGGAGCCTGCTGCAGTCCTTGCTGAATAGGCAAAAGCCAGTGGGAGGAACAGTGAGGTTAGCCTAAGATTGAACAGCAAGGCCAGCTGGAGGTCCTGCAGGATGGACATATGGAGATGTGATGGGAAGGTGGTCAGAACTGGTGTCCAAAGCAGCAGATGGAATGTGGGCCACCTGGGAAATTGCAGGGGTTGTTGGCCAGAAGTGGGGTGATGAGAACCAAGAGCCTAACGAGAGGAAGGCACTTAGCAGTTTCGAGAAGGGGAACTCAGATGAGACCCATCGAAGCCCACAGTGACCCCTTTAGAAAGGGTCAGTGCCTCTAGCTCTCTGCTCTGCTCTCTAGAATGAGAGGATCTGTATAAAGCCACCTATACCCCAGGACCTTGCCTAGTGGCCAGAGAACTTCAGTTATGGTGACAATGCCTTGCGGAAGATGAGTTAGCTGTGCCTTCTGGGAAACATCTTCGACTCGCTTGGATTCAGCTCTCCATCCTGCCGGTAGGCTCTCCCACTGCAAGCCCTGGCTATGCCCGAGAGGGTGATGAGAAAGTTTGGGGGGAAGGGTAAGCTGGTGAGAGATGTGGGGGCACATGTCCCTGAGTTTCGTTTCAAGGTTTAGACAGTGGGGATGATGGTGGCTGAAGCCCCTTTTCCATCTGCATGAAAGTGTTCTCATGATCTCTCAGAGAAATGTGTGCCTTTCCTCTGGGCTTCATGGCACTCAGTGGTAGCCAACGATGGAGCATTAATGGACGGTCATCAGAGATGAGTATTTTTTTTTTTTTTGTCCCAAGGTACAGCTGGAGCCTGCAGGCAGATCTGTGGCTCAGGAGAGTTTCTGAGTAGTTTTGTCCTAGATTTCCTCTCAAGTCAAAGTCAGACAGTCTTGTGTGTGCTTGAGGTCTGGCTGTGTCCTTGTCTGCTGGCAGTGGTGATCTGGGTTATATCTGTGCTCTGGAGCCTTCGAGACTAATGCTAAGACTCCCTCCCTGCCCCCTAACCCCGGGTGTCAGCATAGCTGCCTTCCCATCTTGAAAATCTGAAGTCTTGATGTGTTCCCAAAGCAAATGGTTCCACATAGGGGCCTCACTCGCCCCTGCATCAGCACAAGGGTACCACTGTGGGCGAAAAGCAGAGGGTGCTCATGGCCTCCATTCCTCAGCCCTTCTCTCTGCCCAGTGAGGTCTTGTAGTACCACGTGTCTGTTTCTCATTCCTCTCTCTGTGTTTACCACCCATGCCAGGAGAGTTCCCCAAGTTCCCTCTTACAAAAAAGGTTGCCAGGGCCAGAGAGTACAGCGGGTAAGGCACTTCCCTTGTATACTGCCAACCTGGGTTTGACCCCTGGCAACCCATGTGGTTCCTCAAGCACCACCAGGAAGGATCCCTGAGTGCAAAGGTAGGAGTAAGTCCTGAGCACAGCCGGCTGTGCCCCCAAGCAAAAAACAAACAAAAAGCTACTACCCTAGACCCTGCCATTACTAATTTTGAAAAAGGACAGAGCCCCTATGAACTGTTCCTGGGACTCTTGACCTGACACCTGATAGCACTTTCCTCAGTGCCCCCAGAGGCCTCTGGCTTCCTTTGAACATACGGCAGTTAGTGGGACTCCTTCGATGGTGCTCTTGGCAGGTTTGCACAGAGAATGGCCAACAGCCTTCCTAGGCCAGCCGGGGCCTCGTTTTGCTTAAGTCTGAAAGAGATTTTTGTTTTCTGGTGAGAACAGCCTCAGCCTGGCCCAGTGCCTGGAACCAGCGGCAGGAACACCAACTCTTTCATGTGACAGCCCAGAGGGGAGATGCCCAGGCCAGCAGGGCCCTCCCCTTTGCGCTGTAGGAGGCGCTCATTTGCATAGTCCCCATTCATTCTGGCCTTGAAAAGGGGGCCTGAGTTCTCAGGGCTCAGCCTGGGCTGGACTGCCTGGCCTGGCCTTAACCCTGTGGCTGCCATAGGGTTCCACTGGTCAGCAGCAGTACTTGGAGGGTGTTAGGAGAAATGATTCAGGAGTTGCTGGGCCCTGTGGACTGCCTACCTTCCCGTGAGGGGAGTGG